TCAGACAACATGGGTTTGAGCCTGGGTATCTCACTAGCTGACTGTGAGCAAAAGGCATACAACTGGCTAACGCCTTCAAAGGTTGGGTTGTGGTAAGTGGGCCTGGTCTCTGTTAGTGCTCGGTGACATAAGTACCCCTGTAACATCCCAGCTGCCTGAAAGCTTATGGGGCGGTTGTTGAGGAACCTACGTCTCCTCCAGCCAGCACTGAGCTTCTTATGCAGGCTTGCTCTGCCTGTGATGTATTCAAAAATGAGTGACTTACAGGTGGGTGGGTGGGTGGGTCAGTGAACTACTTCATTCTCTGTGTGTGAGGATGTAGGGGTGGGAGCTGTGAGCTGAGACATGAAGACGCATAACCAGAGCTATCATATTGGATGGATATATGTAACATACTGTATAGAACAAAATATATAATATATAACATACAGTACATTCTATACATACATATATCACCTATATAAGAAAAATAAAAAAACAATCTCAAGTCCCCCTTTTGCTCTCCTCATTGCCACCTGAACGTGCAGTTATAAAACTGGAAGTTTAGATGTACGATTGTGACATGAGGGAGCATAAAAGGCACACAGGCTTACTTGTTTTAATCACACTGCAATGACGCCTAAGGCTTCTTGCTGGGTGCAAGAGAATGAACACTTTTCGGAATGTAGTTGGCAGGGTTCTCACGGGATTAAGTCACTGTGGTACTCAGGGTCAGTGAATCCAGCATTACTGGACTGCAGCAGTGCTAACTAAAGGCACAAATGCTATACCCAGTCCTGGTGCTCCATAGCTGAAGATCCAACTATCCGATACAGGATACTGTCCGATACAGGAAGACAACACATGAAACCAATGCTGGACAGCAGGATGGCTGCTTCCACAATGGGACGCCATTTGATGATGATTACAGTCATCAGGCACATCAACAGTTGTAAGGTCATGATTTTTTTAGTCTTGTTTTGTGAGGCCAATATAGTACTACTCTATACTAGAAATTTAAAATTTCCATCATTTCAGCCAATTGCTGCCAATGACAGAGAATAACGGGAAAAAAAGATAGATATCCAACAATCTACGTTGATCTTCTTCAATCTTCTATGTCTAGCAAGAATTTCTAACAGGACTAATTTATCCAGCTTATCATTTCTGCCCTGTCATTGTCTACATAAGTCCAAGCTAAATCTTAACACTATTCCACTCAAGCAAGTGATACACATAAGATGTCACCCTGAAGACTTCATCCTGTGAAGAACACCATCAACTCCAGCAGTGCATCAAAAAGATTGTAGTACTTTCTTTTCCATTGTGACTGAAAGATGTAAATATTATGAGACATAAGGTGCTTCAATTTATGTTTGTTATGCGTGTTCAAATTATGGCAGCCATGAATTATGGTGTTAGCACCACTCCGGGTTTATTTTTTGGAATTCTAGAAGTGCTAAGGCACAAGACAGGAATATTTATACTCTTCAGTGCTAGTGTATTAATATGTACCCATCTGGGTAATCACATACTGTATGTGTCCAGATGGGACATGTAGCTGGAATTTTATCTTCTCATTAATATTTCTTTGGATTCCCTTTTGGGATGCTAGGGTTTAAAGGACATTTATAAAAAGAACACTCACTGTCCTTTTTTGTTCAAGGCAGACTCTTCTTCCTGAGCTCCAAACAGAGCTGCCCATCCATCCATTTACCAAATGCTTCATTCAATTAATGGCCTCGGGGGAGCTGGCAACCAGTGGGCACAAAGCAGGGTACTGGGTGCCAGTCCACCGCAGGGCAGACACACAGTCAACACACATGCTGGGACCAATTTTCCCAGGAGACATTTCACCTGCCATTATGTTTTAGGACTGTGGAAAGAAGCACACAGGTCTGGAATTGAACCCAGGGCCCCAGCGAGACAGCAATGCTAACCACTGTGCACCGTGCACCGTCCTAACAGAGCTGTCATTTACTCCTATTCTTTCTTCAAACAGTCACAAGCAGTCATCAGGGAACTGCAAGTAATTATGGAGCAATAAGTCTGACTGATTATCAAAACAAAACTAGAGGATCGCCTCTGTGGAAATAATACCCTAGAAAAATGTCAACACAGATTTAGAAAAGGTAGATATTCCCTAATACTAATTAGAGTTCCTTGAACAAGCAAAAACACTAGTGGATTCACACAGTGCAGGTGATACAGTGTATTCAATTTTTCAGAAGGCTTTTGATAAAGTTCCTCATAAATTCTCAAATACTGGTGGTAGGCATTCAGAGGAACAGGTTTCTGAGATGGGAATTGGCTCATAAACAGATAAACAAAGGGTATCTGTACAAGGACCTCTACTCTTCTTAATTTACATCAATGATCTAGATTCTGGAATATAGTAAACTCTGGATTCTAGACTAGTACACTAGTCAAGTTCGCAGATAATACCAAGTTAGGAGGATTAGCAAAAGCACACGATTAAATTCAAAAAGATTTTGAAAGAATGCACGACTGGAAAAACATCTGGATTTGTATGCAGCTAAAATAACGTGAACTATAACATCAAAAAAGGAACTGTGAGCAAGAAGAGCCTTCTTATGAAAAAGAGGTTGTTATGATGGCACATCATTTACAACTCCTAAGCAACGTGGAGAAGCAATTAAAAAAATAGAAAAAATGCTAGGATATATAGTTAAAAGTGTAGAATTTAATCAAGGGATGTTATGATAAAGTTGTATAATGCACAAGTAAAGCCTCATTTAGAATACTGTGGACAATTTTGCTCACTATGTCATAGAAAAGATATTGCTGCTCTGGATTCAGTCCAGAGACGAGCAACCAGATTGGTTCTGGGTCTTAAGGGAATGTCCTACACTGACAGGCTGAAGGAGCTGAATACTTTCAATCCTGAACAGAAAAGACTACAAGAGGACCTGATCCGAGTATTCAAAATGCCAAAGGCACCGACAAAATCAATCCAGTGGATTTCTTCAGAATGGACAGTGAAAAACAGACCACAGGGCACAAGTGGAACCTCTCTGGACGTGCATTTAAAACTGAGAGCAGGAGACACTTCTTTAGACAAAAGTGTTCTGGGAGTATGGAACGAGCTACTCAGCACTGACGTTGAAGCCGATACTGTGGCTTATTTCAAGAAGAGGCTGGAGGAGATTCTTGGATCAGTTAACTACTAACTATCAAGTGTGGTAAATGGGCCTCCTCTCATTTATGAGCATTCTTATGTTCTTAAACTCAACAAATGTTTTTTTGCATTCATTACAAAACAGATGTCTTGCCATTTGTAAGTGTATAAATTTGAAGGAGATGTTTTTTAAGGGAGTGCACACAACCTTTTTACATGACATTTACATTAAGTTTATAAAAGAATGTCTAGTCAAAAAAAGCAATGCGGTTTATGTTTTTATTTTCATAACTTTCCATTACTTGTCAAGAGTGTTAAAGTCTTATACTACTTTTTAATTTATAAGTAGTGACGTTCTTTAAGCCTTTCATTTTTGAAGCATTCTTTTTCAACATTACTGATTTTTTAGCAAAAGAGCTACATTTTCAACAACAAAATTAACTGTCGATATCTCTGAAGTTAGAACTGGCAAACCTAAGCAGGGAATGTCTGAATTTTTCTGCCATTCTTTTTTAATTAAATGAGGGTTTTAGACAGTATTACTTTTTATAAGAAAAACCACTAGTAAGGTTAACCTTCCTGCACAAGCGTACCTTGGCTATTGGCAGGAACTCTTTAGAGATGCCAATGTAATTTACAGAAAAGTATTAAACGATTCCGCGCAAACATTACCAAGAAACACGAGGATTGCTTTTCATCCAAGTGACATTAAATGCACTCTGTAACAAAAACCATATGAGAAATTCTTCAGATCATCCCCTAAGATTTTCTTTGAACTAGTGATCTTCAGACACTCACAAAAATCTTCCAGACATTAAACAGGGTAAGAAAGCTCATGCTGCTATTCTCAGAAAACTTTGAATCACATGAAACACATAAAATATTGAAAATTCAGTTTTATAAGAATGACAGTGGTCATAAAGGAAACTAACAGCTAAAAAATAATAAATGAACATGACTGTCTTGTAACCATAAGTGATATAGTAGTAAAATCATCACCCAAATGTTTTAAATATTTTTAGAACATGTTTTGAAATCAAAATGCATCAGCCAATAATCACTATAATAAAGTGGAAAAAATTGTTATAACTGTTCTTAAACTTAAACTGTTCACTCATGGAGAATAAATAAATGTTATACAAATACTGTACTCTAGCATCCTGTTCTAAAATCACGTCTGGTCCAGATTATTTTAATTCAGTCACCATATACAGTAAAACTCAGTACCGTATACAGCAAATTAAGTGCATTCAAATTAAGTCCACACGCATGAGTTAATATATCAATCATTCGCACTGCACAGAAAATAAATTTTACTTTGTCAACATGCTGAGAATATTTACATTTGGCATTTTGTGTATGTAATTTGGATCTTTTGATTGACCTCAGGGATTTGTAGCACACCAGTAATGCAATGCTCGTTTTCAATTAGCATGGATTTGCTGCTATCTGTCATAAAAGCAATCACAACAGGGATGGATATAAGAAACACACTTTTTTGGAATATGAAATATTTTAGGAGCTTCGGGTTCTCATATAATTCACATTAGGGAAACCCTTCATTTGTCAAGCAAGTAAAGAGTGTCTGATTTTCTCAGATTAAAGAAAAGAATGTAAAACATCCAGCCCATTTTCTAGTTTTACATGCAGATCTGCAGCTTGTAAAACCTGAAATGGCTCTAAAACTGCTTCACAGAGAGAAGTCTAATTCCCAGCCTTGAGTACTATAACAAAAAAAAGAGTAAACTATTTGTGCATGCATGCACATATTATGCACAAATTCTGTTATATGTATAAAAGCATTTGTCTTTCAACTACTTTTCATCCGGGTGATAGATATGAGGTTTGCTTTAATGATCGAAGGTTTAAACTTTTTTCTTACCCTCTCTTCCAGGTTTCCATCTTCTCCCACTGGCTCTTTCCCGTCGGGGGCGTCTTTGAGGGCAGGCACATGCTTCTTGTGTGCAGGCTCGCGGTTGAGTGTGGTGTACCCTATGTGCTCGTAGATCGGGTTGATTGTCATCTTTGCGATGTACTCTGCTGCCTTGGTTTCAATATACAGGGTGATCAGTCCATCGGTCACCAGGTCGTGAATGGACTCGAAGCGTTTTTCCCCCACGAAGTGTTTCCCATCATAGTAGAGGCGGAAATTTCTTGTTTGGTTTCCAAATCTGTCTCAGAAGAGAAAGAAAAAGGGGATGAAGACAGAGAGGCCAAAACGGCTTGCCTGCATTGGATTCATCTGTGTAACATTTCACTCCTGGGTACTCTGCAGAGAAACCACAAAGCCAAAAAAAAAAGCACTACTGAGCGGAGTAGGGAAAGGCACAACCCTGAGAGAGGAAAAAAAAAAAGACCAGCTTGCCCTAAAAGGACTGACTTGTTCTCTTCCAGCCTTTTCAGTTTCTATGCTACAGCTGTGAGAGGCAAAAAAAAACTGGAATAAAAGGCACCATACTCCACCCAAGGTCCTACTACACTATCTCTGTTTCACATTGCTGAGTTATTGCACTCAATGGGTGCAAATAACAGAGCCCTCTATTTCTAATGATCAATACCGAAGTCTGATATTAGTATTAGACCTTTTTATCCCAAGTCATCACAAAAGCAGAAAAAAAGGTCATTCTGGATTTAGTGTAGAAATAGAGCCAACAAATACACTAACGCAGCTGAGTTGCCAAAACCATAGCAGTGCACTACATAAACGGAACAACGGCAATCATTCTTTCTTTCTGGGTTAACGCCAAAGGCCAATTCTTTGACTCAGTGTACAAAGTGCCTATGTGTTACACTTGTTAAGACTATGATTCAAGCAGAGCTCCATCTGCAAGAATCAAAAAGTGACAGATTCAGGAAGTCTTACAAACCTTCTTAAGATATTAGCTTGAGATTTCAAGCAACATATATTTTGGTTTCATTACAACCAACCTACCGATACCAATTACACCAACCAATTTCCGAACTAAAAAAGTGCTATATAAGGCAACTGAGAATTCTCTATTCTATCGGAAGGCAAACCTATTTATGGAAGGCAATTAGAGAAAACACTGACAGGGGAAAAATGTTTCTACATAAAGGAAACCACAAACTGTCTTTTTATACTACTATATTAACAGAAGAAATGTAGATTTGCATTTCAAAACCTTGTTCATGTTTGAAAGAACATGCATTTCAATGAAACAAAACTACTGAGGTTCATAAATACAGACATATTTTAAAAAAATCATTGCATACTACAGCAAAGTATGTTGAAAGAAATTACTGTTTGGGCCACCAGCTTCAATTCTATGTTTTGTCGCACGAGAGACAATCAATAGAAATAACTGGATAAGCTGCATTTTCACCCAAAACATTTAAAAATGTGATGTAAAAATAGAATGACAGATTTGCTAATATCTATATTTGTATTAGAAAATTAGGAAGAAAGAAAGAAATTCTCTCTTAAGCCCTGCATCAGTAACACCCAGACTAGGAGTGTCTTTCATTAAAACAGGTTTATTTTGCTGACCCCAGTAAACACATTAAATGAAACATTAACCCTGCTGCAGAAGCAAAATTTGTAGAATAAATAATTCAACTTACCACAGCCCATGCATAACCAATACTGCATTTATATGTCAGCATAGATATCACTTCTACATAAACGGCAGACATTTCTCCCTCATTGAAATTCCATTTGATATTTACTGATTAACCTCTTTCTATATACACTTTAGATACTTTTTAGAGCTGACATTCATTCCTTGGAGAAATCTTCTCCAACCAGAATGCTGCTAGATATTTGTCCCTTTAAGTGTTTGAAGGATGGCACAAAGCACACAAAAAATGTTGCAAATGAAGAATATTTCCCAAATTCTTTTTGTAAAAGAACTTTTCCATCAGCATTCTTGCACTTTTTACTTTTTCTTGATTTGATTTAATTTCCTGTGTTAGCAATTTTCCAGCCACAAATGGAAGAAAAAAAACACAACATGTGGTAAGAAGTTACTCGTGGCACTCTGGGTCTCTTTCAAGCCAACACCAGAGGCTTTGTGTACCATTTGTTTCCTGTTTACATCACGGAATGTGCTACAGACCGAAATGAATTCCATCAGTTTCAGAAACATTATTGTCAAAAGATGCTCTTGAAGACAAGCTTACATAAGGTTGTGCACCAAAATTATGATTAATGTTGAAAGAAACCAATGTAACAGTGTGAACATGAAAACTATATGTTATTACAGATTAAGCCATAATATACAAAGTTTTTGGCTTTTTTTTTTGCAACACCAAAACGGATGAAGAACTTAATGGGTCAAAAATGCAAAATGAGAAGCTAACTGTAAACAGCCTCAGGAAAAGATTATTCAACTCTTTAAAGTCTATTCTCGTTTTGGTAAGCAACGTGCCATCTCGACAGAACTGGAAAATCCAGTCTTTCAAAGAAAAATATACATAGCTATTAGAAAAACCCAGGAGAACAAGAATGATCTCTCACTGGGCCTAACCAGCTACATGAAAACCTTTTATTCAAAGCACACAAGGTGGATGACATGTCTGGGGTAATGGAGTCCAGAACTAGTTTAAACAGAATTCAAAATCCAATGCCCAGCATTGACCTCAACTGAACTGAGTGTCTTCACCCACAACTAAGGGTGTTAAAAATAATTCAGTTGCCTTGACATGACAACATATTGAGGCATATGTCAGGTTTTATCTAACATGGCTACTGCCTTTAGAAAATGGTATGGGCAGCAGAAGGCTTGTTGTGACATCAATAAGAGATGCGCCTCTTCTCCACTCTGTGGTGAACTTCCTGTACATCACTGAAGAGCTTGTAACATATTCGAAGATGAAAGGTTTTAAGTTGGCAGGTCAGGGGAGCTTGTGTGCTCTTACTCACTTCATTGTGAGCCAAGATGTAAAGGGACAATGGGGGCTTCCAAATTGGACAAGTACACAATTGTTTTTTCAAACTGAAAGAAAGAGACCATATTTGCAAAACATGTATGGCCATTTCATTTTACTTAGAATATCTACATTCTACTTAGTTTCAAAGTATGATTCAGCCAGTAAGGTTAACTTGACATCTGGGTTGGTGCTTTCTGCACCAAATCTATTTCAATTTAAAAAAGAAAACAACAAACATGTCTGTGTATTTTTAGGTCACCCAGTTTCACTTGCTCCTTTACCATTTCTTAATCACACGAAAGAACGCACCCGTGAGAATGCACAATGGTAGATCTCTCAAGAAAGCCAAAGGGATCGAGGAGTTTTCTATTACTCCGCCATTTTCTGTAGTAGACATTGGAATCAGCTCTTTAATACGCTAACCTTTCAGTTCGCCTGACCCCCTGTGGAGTTCGTGAAGGCAGCACAGCCGAAATGTCACCATTATATGAGCAACTTGTTTACAGCAGCAAAGACGATGATTTATAAGCAGAGGAAGGTTGGTGGTGTGCAAATCACTGGAAGATGTGTGGCTCATGGTTAACACCCAAATGTGTCCACAAACAGTTCACCCTCAGTCTCCTTGTGCTAATTATCTTGTATTCTATACATTACACTGATATTTCACAACACTGCTGAAAAAAAATCACACTGTGGTAAAAAAAAACACTGGATTTTCTTATTAAACATAAACCAATGAAAAGATAAGGCCATATTTACTTCACAGCACTTTCCATTCTAGACGCATCATTGCCTTAGCTTAAAGGCTGTTAGATTACCAGAATGACAGTTACATTTCCATTCACAGTGACTTCCTTTTCACCCATAAATGGCATTTGTCTACCAATTAATCCATACTGTAGGTTATATTAATCCTAAAAACACAATGTGATAGCTAAACCATACTATTAAAAGGCAGGAAAAGGGATACAATGTGAAATCGTTTCATAGTCTTATTAAAGTGCAAAGGATCTGCACAGTCACAATGCATGGTTTTAACAAAACATAGCATTACATTACAATGTTCAGAAGCAAAAAAAAAAAAACAGAAGAGTGCAATCTATCATTACTTAATACAGAAACAGCCATAGCACTGAGGTGACCATTTCAATGTGTGGCCAGGGGCTATGAATGGAGTAGCAGCAAGGAGGGTGGCTGTGCTCAGCAGTCAGTTCTCCTTGCCAACGCTTTTTAAAGGTCAATATCACCAGACGTCCCACAAGGTCACTGGCGCAGTCTGAATGGCTTTTACCTCAGGTTCCCACCCACCTCAGCTCTCCAATCAAACCAGTTTGCGGGACTCGGTTCAGCCTGAAGGGGGAATGCCTAGTCAGTGTTTTGGAAAATGCTGAATATCTGGGTGTCAAGGGATAGGAGTGTTGTGTGGTGAAAAGATGAACTTTCCAAGCTACAAGCAGAAGCTACAAAGTTATCTTTAGGCGCTGTCATTTTATGAAGGACAAGCTAATGGCAAAGTATAGTTTCCAATCGTTCATGCACCATTTTCATAACAATGGGCTCACTCTCTTCCTGTGTGTCAAATGTGGGGAGGCAAAGTCTACTGTACCTCCTTCATTAACTCCATTTACATTTAATAATTAAATTTGAGGTAAGCAGTCTCTTCTGTAATCCAATTTTACACTCCAAGAGGCAACTTCAGCTTAATTGTAGGAGATGCAGCTTTGAGAAACCAGTGACTTTACCATAAAGAGCAAATTGCATTAGATGATACAGCTCTCAAAGAAATTAAAATATATAGGAATAAAGTGGTATTTTAATCTGCTTTAATCCAGTTACCCTCTACTTAATGCAGTTAAAATGTGAGAGAATATCTAGCAAAGGGAAGTTAAATTAGAAGTGATTCAGTAGCTGAAACATTACAAACTTATTTCAACAAAGAAGAGGCTTGAAAAGTTTTCATTTTTCTTAATTTTCCATTAAGCACAAAAACAGTCATGAGTGCTGAGAACATCCTTATATAGAAGCAAGCTAATCATTTTAAATATGGCAGCATATGTTGTCAAGACAACCAACTTTCTTTTACGTCTGCCGTCTTATTCATAGTATACTTAACCCAAAATGATTCATATCACTAATTCTAATAAATGCACATTTTAAGTAGTCTAGAACATCAATATTTTTTCATAGGTGCACAATTTTATAAGCTAATTGTAAACAGTTCTAAATAGCAATGCATCTGCAGTGATACTTCACAGATATTTTAGACTTTTTCCAGAACCACGAATTTAAAGAAAATGTTCAAAACAAATCAAGGCAGACTTGAAAGATTTCGCAAAGATGTGCAAGCATTAGACAGACCACATGGGGATACCCGAGTTCAAATACGCCCAAAGATAAGAACATCTCCACAGCACTGCCAATGAAAAGAAGCCACAACCTGACCATTTTAGATAAGCTAATTCATTTTATCATGCGCCATATAACTTATAACAACGCTGATATTTATGTACTTGCCACCTGAGAGACTACATTTAAACAACAGAATGAATTAAATAATGTATTTAAATAGAACCATTTCAAATTAAATACACAAATTAAGGCATCCTTTATTTTGGATTGCATTAATACATCATATAATGATGTTCAAAGATAGGGATAGCTACTGTGTGACAACCACAGAGTCACCTCTGTAAAAATATCTACATGTCTATACTTGTAATTGTAATCTATGTTATTGTCACACAATAAAAGTTTAATATACTGTATCTGGGCTTTAGATGAATGTGTGATTTATGGAATATAACTCTGCAGTATTATAGTTCTAAGACAGCTGATACTAAGATCGAACAGTCATGTACAAATCAAATCAAAGACAGACTGTGGTTACACTGACCGTAAGGCTAATGTGTAGGTCCCAGGCTGCCTCTGGCTTTCACGAATGAGATAACATCCTTCTGCAACACTTAGCAGCTGATCAGCCTCTTCCCTTGAAATCATGCCATGGTACCTTTTGGATAGTAAAAAATAAAGCACTGTTTATACCAAACCAGAAGTATTCTTTGATTGATTTTATTTTATTTTCATAATCCTCCTAAAAAAAGAAGACTCTTTAGAGGGCCATGAGGGTAGCGGGAGATAAGATTACTCACTCTCTTCCATAGTATTTGGGCCTGTTTTCCACCTGAAAAGAGAGAGAACAGGAAATCCGTTCAGTACAGTACTTTTTAAAAGAACCTGCAATCTTATTCTTCAAATAGGAAATTATCAAGATGGATGTGGAGGTCCTGTTGCAAAGGACACTAGAAAGGATGCTTGTAAAAGTGTTGCAAAACGGGTATTTATCAGGTTATTTGAACACATTTGTGGATTCCTTCCTTCCGGAAGTCTAATTTCCTCCATTGTGGAGTCCATCAATACAGCTGAAAGATCAAATTACTTTAAGAGCCGGCAGTAACGCAGACCACAGGCATCAGCTGGTGCTAATAGGAAATCTATTTAATGTGGAGCTGAGCACAAGAAAGCAGAATTAGTCTACAGGATTAGAACTTTAAGAGAAAAGACCATATCCCCGCCTCCGTCTTATTTGATGGCTCTTTATGGCTTACGAGACGGGAATGTTTTTGCAATTTTGCTCCAACAGTGCGTGTTCGGCTCAAGAGCACTAATATGATCAACAACACGCTGAGGAAACAAACCCTGTGGTCCAGATATTTAACCTTCTTGCTGGCTGGCGGTGTGAACATTAATAATCAACCTGAGCTGTGGGTCGTTGCAGAGGCAGACTGAAAGCTGCTTGCTTAGCACTTTATCACCCAAGATCCCCCTCCTACTTCTGGGCTGTATGTGGTAGATTAAATTGAAGATTGAAGAAACAAAAGGCAAGGTGGGGGTTGTTTACTTTGCAGCACACACAATTTCCAGAGATATCATATGAATTTTAATGGGAAAACCTTTCGACGCATATATAGAGTTACCAAAGCTGAACATATTGGTGCACATAAACTCCAGAATGTGTAGAGCTTCATCATCTACTGTGCTTTAAGCATTCCCAACATAGCCAGTGTACCGATGATGCTTCAATTGCATAATAATCATTGGTTAATTCTGTTTTTATGACAAAGTATAAGAATTATGGATTTAACAGATTAGGATACATACATTTCAGAATGTTATCTGGTTGCAGAATGTAAAAGGACTTCACCTTACTTTGTCAAAAAGGAGAATGTTAAAGCTAACATTTTCACTAAGGCTGTTCTTTAAGCAAAATTCCGAAGAGAGACAATTTATTCAAACCCCGACATCATTCTGGAGGCAGAATATAACAGGAAGTGAAATTAATGCGAGAGTAATGAACAAGATAATGAATTAAATCAAGAGGGCTGCAAAGCCAATAAATCAAAACAACTGTTTTCCAGAGTACAACAGAATTCGATAACCGTGCGAGGCGCAAACTACACTATCACCAGGTGGTACATTGTTATTCATAAAGCATTACCTATGGGTATTTTCATACAACCTTTAACTATTTTTCACTGCTACACCAAAACAGAATCCCTTTCTTGATTACATGGTACACTATCCCTTTACAGTATATTAAGCCACGTATGAGCTCATAGCTGTGTGGAAAAATGTAAGTAAAACGTTTCTAATTCTAACACCTAAAAATTAACTTAACTGTCACTGACTATAAGAATTGGTAAAAGAATTGAGAAAAATTGCCTATTTTCTTAATTCTCATACCTAAGCCTATAAAATAGTCTGTCTTTATGTATAGCCCTTGAAATGATTTCACACAAGGACAGTGTGCACTAGATATTCAGGCAGTTGGAATAAGGTATTTGCAGCATGCTCCTCAATGGATATTTTCTATTGATTCATTCGTACATTAACCTTGACTGTCATTCCCAATAGGTATTAATTTATCCAAACTAAAGAATGCCGGTGCATTACCAATTAGTTATATTAGCAGTAAAATCTGAAATTCACTCTTTAAATACAGCGGAAAATTCCTGAAAATAATAAAATTAAAAATTCCTATTACATTGTTAAGATGAGATCAAGGAATAAAGGGAATGTAAAGTAACACTTAGGTGATTTTAGTCTGTCAAAAAATTAACAGTTAGCTTTTGGGATTAGGTGAACCTTGTCTGTTAGTTTTTTTACTGACCTAAGGTATCTGTTTTCCCTCTAAAGGACAACATGTTTTAACAGAGAATAATTAGCTTCAACTCCACACAAGAAGCCCCTGGGCTACCAATGAAAAAAGATGATTTTCACAGATGCCGAGTCCATCGGTTTCAGTGTACTGACTAATTTATAGGGGCATTTTATCAAAATGGGCACTCCTAACATTAAACAGCTTACCGAAACAATGCAGGGAGGCACTGCACATGCAGTGGCTTTGAAATTCACTCATTTGTAAACTGGGTCAAAAACGTAACCTCACCAAGCACCACGTTTATAGACGTGAAGTCTTGAAGAATTGTTATTACCAAATAGTGTGAAACACAAAAGAGAGGCTGGAATTTCAAAACAAGCTCTCTCTCAGTACTGAATTGTCATGTTCCTTCCCATGTAAATAAACTATAAGCATGAACCTAGAGCCCGAACAGCATTCTTAAATAGGGCAAGTTCTCACTTCCTAATTGTGCTTGATACTGAAGTGCTGAAAGCAACGGTGGACAGTGTGAGATATGTTGAATCAATCATAATAATTAATGTCTACAATGATCGAAATCGACATTTCTTTTGGCAAAGCTAACGGAATTTCAGCAGCGTTAAAATTCATCAGTAGTGAGAACTCTAGGCCTCCTAAGCCCCTAATTATTATCGGAGAGAATGCTAACTATTGCTGGATGCAATTTATTTTAAAACTCAGGCCTGTGCTCTTCAGTTCCTGGAATCTGATATCTTTCGTGCCACATGTGATTCTTGTTAGTTTTATACCCTTAGAATTTTCAAATGTATGCTTTTAATATGCAAAAACATAAGCATCACAACAAGGATGATATAAGCCAGTTATTGCCACAATTCTGCTAGTTTATCATTTCAGCCTTTATTAAACAGAAACAACATCTTACTTTGTAGACCTTTACCTATTTTTAACACACAGCTACATAGCAGCTTAAAAATAGCACTATATCTCTCTTCACTTAAAAGTAATGGACAAAAATACCTGCAGATGTTTTTCAAAAACATTAAGACAACAGAAAATGTTGCTAAGACATACATAGAATAACCAAGAGCCAGGCAGTCTTAAAACAACTCCTTTGCATCACAACCTTGGCTGACTGACCTCGGCTGAGAGCTGATCAGGTTCATTGTGTGATCGCTGACAACTGCCAGTGTTCCAATGTCCAGGCGGTTTTTGGCTTTAAAGATCTTGCAAAAAATGTTTAGCTTATGGAAAACAGTTCCTTGGTCTAACATTTCTGAAGTCTTACACGAAAAACAGGTTTTACAAGAGAAACATGAATAATATCTACAATTGGACAAAATACAGCTTAAAACGTATATCCAGAAAAGTATGCTAAATGACAATACTGTCCTTGCCATCAACACAGAATCTTACACCCTTTTCCTATTTGCTTTAGACCAACGTTTTATACGGACACTGGAGCTCAAAGACTGAGTTCATCAAACCATAGGGTTCCATCAATTATACCCTTCACCTACGCGTTTCCCCAATTCTGATTTCATCAGTTAATCCATGTTACCGGCCTTGATTATTTTGAAAGTTATTATATTTTCATCACAACACAGTTTTATTTTTTAATCATCTGCATGCTCCCTCTTTACACCCATAACCCTGTGAAGGTAAGGTTAATGAAGACTAATATGTTAAGCCTTTTCACCATTTTCAATTATGCCCTGTTATAATGTATGCTGCATTGTACAAGAACGGCAATTTATAATTGTTTTGATGATAATCTGATTTTGTGTCTGTAGTGTTCTTCAGAGCAATAGGTTAGTATTTTTGGATATGAAAATGAACATGCCCAAAAGTGTTGTATCTAAACGGTCTGATTATCTTGGCCTTTACCATTAAAATAGGTTTACTATTTTAAATATAAACAAGATTATTTTACTTCCAAGACATGAAATCAAAAGTTCAATTGCCATTACTATTTTATTTTGTAGTGTTTCTTTGCTTGTTCTTGCACAATAGGATTATTACATTTTAATGTGAAATAATATACAGAAGCACGTACAAATCAAGAAACATTTACAGTTAACTCATACTGTATGTCCAGTCATAAAACAATGCAGGTCAAGACTGAAGACTCATTCCAGGTAAAATAAATCTTGATCTAAAGGCAGAGCTTGTTCAAAGACAGGGTACTGAAAGTTTAATAAAGGACAGGCTTTATTTAAATTCAATAACATCATCCAAAGAGTTCAAATTTCTCCACAGCCGAAAAAGATTTTACTACTTTATACTGTCAAACAAAAATCACATTTTTGTTACAATTAAATAAGCATTTAAGTCCAAAACACTGTGCTAATATGTTGTGCATTGCCTATAATTAATCACAATTTAAATTAGGTAGCATAAATACTGGATGGCTTGAATTAAGAGAGTAAAACATACAAAACAAGTTAAAGCAAAGGTCTTTCATTATTAGCTACATTATCAGTCTCATGAGCAACAATTTAGCAACTGCACTTTGTTTCATTATTCAAAGCGATTTTTTAATGCTTTTTAAAAAAAGATCAGTATGAATTACGTTTTGACACGCAATTCACATAAATTAGTGTGCATCAGACTTAATAAATCGTCTAATTAAGTGAAAAGGCAATCTGCAGAGACTCACAGCTGAGGGCTATAAACATCATACCTCACACATTAATAAAGCAATGGGTGCTACAGTCTGTCTGCTTCCCATTGAAGGTTCTATTAACATTATAATATTTCAGCCTTGGTGATGGTACAGAAATCACCTAAAATACCCCCAAAAGATTTGGCTCTCCTCTTTTTAAGCACTTTAATCCATATTAAATACCTGGTATATGCTTCCACCCTGTGCTGCAGGGTGGTAGCCATCAAAATATCTGACAACAAACAAGCTGTTCTGTCTGGATTCATGTCAGACTGACAAATAGCATTGCCAGATACATTTCTTTCCCTTTACCACACCAAAAAGCAACATTCAGTTTTAATAGATAAGGGCCTTCCTACAC